AGATAGACACCTGGAAGCTGCCGTGGACGGTGAAACACAGCTGCTACCTAGCAGCTCTTTTATCAAATTTGCAGAGAACTTAAATAAAATTAGTGATTACAAGCATCAATTTATTCACTGATCAGGTAGCTAAAATAACATAATCTCATTAAAGCCTTCTAAGATGCCATTCAAATCATTAATTTGTTTGAGACAAGTTCTGACTTACGAATGAATTTGAGAAAGAAGAAAATGACGTTTTGCTGAAGAATATCTGAATCACTTTTTTTAACCTGGTCAGGATAAAAATCCCTGTCTCTTGTGTGAACCATACAGCAACCGTGAGGAGTATATGTCTGTATATTCATATGTGTGTGAAGGTGGGAGCTTCAGATAAAATGCCTTTATTTATAGGCCATAGGAATCACTATGGAAACTCCATCATAATGCCTTTTATTGTTTTTCTACCATATTTATGTGAAAAGCCAAACTATCTAAGATGACATATGAGATATTTCACGGTTTAGTTGTCCATCTCGTTGGCTCTGAATCCTGTACACCATATCCACCAGAATAGATTTTATAACTCTACATCTGACTGATCTCTAGAATAATGAATCTTTTTTGCACTTTTAAAAGTATAATTTTTATAAATTTATCATTTGACAGTATCAAAATGTGTATAATGCATTCTGGTTGCTCTCGCCTCCCTCAACCCTCTCCCTGTCCCCATCCTCCCAGCTTTCAACCTTCCCTCTTCCCTACTGGTCCTTTTCTCCTAATCGTGGACTTCTCTTTATTTGATTGCTTGATCATTTGCTTGTGACCCACTGAGTTTAACCTGAGCCGTCAGAATGATCATGGATTTGCAACTGTTCATTGGAACCTGCTGGTCTCAGCAGTTGGTGCACAAGTTAAAGCACTGACTGTCCCTCCTCTAGAATCCATCAGTAACCAATAGGGAAATGGGAAGGTAGAGGCCTCTATGAGACCATTCAAGAGTCCTGGTAGACTGTTGGACAGACCCAGTGCAGGCAACTGCGGGTGCTGTGAGTCATGATTATAATGGCACTTTTAGATCCAGAAGATAGAATTTAACATTCTTTTACTCTCTCTTTTAACACCTGAATTCTTTTTTTGTTGTTGTTTATTTATTTTGAGAAGAATAAAACTTTACTGTCGTGTTAGAATGTAAACATTTGAATATTAATGAGTTCCCTGGCGTCTCTTTTAAACACACCCTCCATTCTTAGTCTCTCCATTCACCCCATTAATAACAAAGACAGACTTCTTTAACTAAGGCTAAGAACAGTGTCAATCTATGGCTATAAAGATAATTTACTGTAAATGTGAATATTTATAAGGGGGATTTGGGCCATATCAGTACTAAGAGGAGCCACAATTCTTAACTTGGATTGACACCGGAATGACCTAGACCTAGGGTATTTTAAAAAGTGGTACAGTGTTGTCTTCTCTGAGCTTTTTCAGAGCAGGAAGAGCTGCTTTACAGAGGGACTGTATTTTTTTCCAGAGGAAAATCCAGTATTCAAGAAATCAAGTCCTGTTATTTAAGGTCTTAGAGGACAACCAAAGCTAAAAAAAATGTGACCTGTCCAGAGACCATTTTCCTTCCTATTTTAAAAAGACATAGGTTATAGAATCCTACACACATTCAGTTTTGTGTGTATGCATTTCAAGGCACTTAAATGCACACTCGTGGGACTCATGGAAGTGAAGATGTTGGACTTTTAACATGAAGGAGGCTCCTCAACGCATTCCTATTGATGCGACTCCACAAGACTCAAAAGCAGAGGTTGGGCATTGAATATTAATGACATGCAAGGAATGTGAAATCAGAGACAAGAGATCACTGAATCCAAACAGAGCACGCAAAGCACTAAGATGAGACCACAGAGTCTTCTTCACAGGGACCTGAGTCCTCTTGTGCCATTGCTTTCTTGTATTTTGGGGCCATGCTCAGTACTAGCAAGAATCAGCGAGTGAGAGAAAAGGCAAGTCGCTGTGTGATTTTAAGCCACTGTATTGGAAATAATACAAACAATGGCACTTCCAGCCAAGAGCCAAATGGCAATGATAGGCAGGCTTTAAAGAATGCCGTAATAAACAGGAAGTGTCCATCTCTTAATATCTAAATATCAAGTTGGCAATAACAATTATGTTTCCTACTCCTGCAATTCTAGGAAAAGCTCTTAGTCTACACACATGCAACTCAAAAACAGGTTCCTGTCATTCTTAGAATTCACCTCTTCACTATCATGTCTACAGTGTGCTTTTTTTTTAAACTTCTATTGATTCTTTATAGATTTTACATCATGCATTCCAATCCCACTTATCTCCCTGTCTCCTCACATCTGCCCTCTGTCCTTGCCACCTCCTCCAAAAACAATGCCACATTTAGAAGAAAAACCAAAAGCCAAGCTGTAGTGTGGCCCGTTGAGTGACACAGTTTACCTTTTAGTCCATTCATCTTTACTTGTGGGTGTTCATTGCCATGAATCATTGATCTGGCTTTGAGGCCTCTGGTTTCTGCTACACCATTGATTATGATCTCTCCTTGGGACTCCTCATGGATAACCCCTTGTCCTGAGTCATGGAGATGCTGTTTGGATCTGTAGGCTCGTTCCTTTCACAAACTCCAACTCTTCATAGATTTGGTGCATGTTGGGTGGGCCAACTCATAGCTCTGGTTCTGGGCCTGGGTCGGAGCTGAGCTGGTCAGCCCGCCAGCTTTCCCTCATTCTCACTACCTGGACAAGCTCTCCAGCATTGCTTCAGTTAGCTAACCCAAGGCAGCCTACAGCAAGAGTGGGGCCAGGTCCCCTGCTCTCAGGTCCTCAGTACTGGGTCCCCCACACTCAGATCACCAGGGCCAGCTCCACTGGTTTTCCCAGACAAGTACAGGGCCCTCTTGATTGCTATGGGGGGGGGCTATGGGAAGGGGTTGGGATCAGCTCTCATGTCCTTAGGGCTGACTCACCTGTGGCCCTGACAACAGGGTCAGCTCTTAATACATAGGATTTGAGTAGAATTGTATTAGTAAGAAAAGAATACAAATTCCAAGTTTCTTCAGTCAGTTACAAATACCCAGCTACCATCCATTCTGCTTTAGGAAGGTGAACAACAATGACTGCATGTTGCCTTTGTTATATGGCCTTTCATATGTGATATACACACAGAGACACTTTGAACAGTACAAAACCAGCCTGGCTATTAACTGTGACACCAGAAGCCATTGCTATACCTTTTAAATACAAAGATTTCTTTCCATTCACATTGCTAAGGTTTTTTCTTCTAAGACGTTACGTCTTAGAAACAAAGACTTGACAGGTCTGACAGGAACTCAGAAATGTTTCATTCTGTCTCTAAATTTCTGTGTCTTCTGACTTGCTGACAGCTTTCTGATGATGTGGGAAGTATCAAATCTGAAATGCATCATGGCTTTCGCAAATGCACTGATGCACTCAATTTGGCCCACTTTCAAAGGAATATATGGCCGAGAGCTGCACAGTAGCATCATTTCTGTATGTAATTTAATAATGCTGTGTTTCAGAGGGGAGGCGAATATGAAACTTCGTTGCTGTGGCATGACAATTCTCTTAATGAAACGGGAAATGCAATGTTTAAAGAAATGGTATCTTTGTATGGCAAACAGTAACTTTAGAGTGAGTATAGAACAATGTATCTCATTTCACTATCAGAAAATTCCCCATGATAAATCAGTTGTCACATGCTCACTGGGTGTGTATGTACTCTAAAACCTGAAAGTTTTAGCCATAGTAATCAACAAATTTTGGGCTATTTAATTTTATAGGAAAGACTAAATTCCTCCCATGTCTCTAGTTATGCCTGTTTAGAGTGCCAAAATCAAAAAGCCAAAATGTGGTAACAAGCAGTTTCATTTCTCCCAGAACAATTGGAAGACGAGGGACATTTATCATAACAGATATGAATAAATTGTCCTCTCAACTGTCTCAAGTAGTCTGACCCAAATCCATTTGACATTTTATTTCAATAGCTAAGCTTAACGTTTTTGGCCCAGCTGATTCTCCAGAAAGAAAGATAGAACACAGAAATTTGATCATTAGAGACACTCATCATCAAAAAGAAAAGGAAGGTGTGGAATCAGCAAGGCATTCAGGAAAACGTGGTGCCAGGAGGGGGGAATGGACACCTCTGGAGCCCACTGCTTTCCTCGGGCTTCTGTGGAGAAGCCAGGGCCCATCTCTCAAGACCTCCCATTTTCTCACTCCTGGCTTTCTCTCCACCCTGTGTCCACTCTCTTTTCTGGCAAGTCTTTATTGGAACTGCTTGGCAGGAAGCCTGGCTCTGTCAGCACAATTCATTCTTCATCTCTACTCTGAGTCCCCTAAGGACCTACGCCTGTGAAACTCATCTTTTTTTTTCTTCTGTAGCCCTCCTCATCCTTTCCACGGTAACACCCACCCCCCATACAGTCTAGCTTCCCAAATGACCAAGAGGGATGAAGAGGTTATAGACTAGACACAAGGAAAGAAAAAGAGAAGGCTAGGGCCTGAGCACATTGTCTCTGCTAATTCCAATCCATGGCATATCTGTTCCCAGTGTTGCACAGTCCCATATACCTATGAGTGTTACTGGACAGCCATGGTGCCACTGTAGAGTGCTGTAGATAGTAAGAAAAGGGACCCCTCATATAAAGGCTTATTTATGCTTCAAGTGTTTATTTCTTTTGACTTAAGTTTAACATGAAAGCAGTAGGCTGTGCAAGTTGCATGAAAGTAAACGACTTAAGAAATTTTAGAAAAGATTGAACTCGAGTTGGAAGAGGCGAGTCCAGTCTCAAAGTGGAGGTAAAACCGCCGGGTTGCCCCCAGCCTGACTCCAGCTGTCGCCACCGCCGGGGGGAGGAGGGCCATGATCCAAAGGAACCAGAACAGTTGAGGAAACTGTTTATTGGTGGTCTGAGCTTTGAAACCACATATGATAGCTTAAGAGAACATTTTGAGAAATGAGACACACTTACAGACTGTGTGGTAATGAGAGATCCTCAAACAAAACGTTCCAGGGGCTTTGGTTTGTGACCTACTCTTGTGTTGAAGAGGTGGATGCTGCAATGTGTGCTCGGCCACACAAAGTTGATGGGAGTGTGGTGGAACCAACGAGAGCAGTTTCTAGAGAGGATTCTGTAAAGCCTGGTGCCCATTTAACAGTGAAGAAAATCTTTGTTGGTGGTATTAAAGAGGACACAGAAGAGTATAACCTGAGAAACTACTTTGAAAAATATGGCAAGATTGAAACCATAGAAGTTATGGAAGACAGGCAGAGTGGGAAAAAGAGAGGATTTGCTTTTGTGACTTTTGATGACCATGACACAGTTGATAAAATTGTTGTTCAGAAATACCATACTATTAATGGGCATAATTGTGAAGTGAAAAAGGCCCTTTCTAAACAAGAGATGCAGTCTGCTGGATCACAGAGAGACCATGGAGGTGGATCTGGCAATTTTATGGGTCGTGGAGGGAACTTTGGAGGTGGTGGAGGTAATTTTGGTCGTGGTGGAAACTTTGGTGGAAGAGGAGGCTATGGTGGTGGAGGTGGTGGCAGCAGAGGTAGTTATGGAGGTGGTGATGGTGGCAGCTATGGTGGTGGTCCTGGTTACAGCAGTAGAGGAGGCTATGGTGGTGGTGGACCAGGCTATGGAAACCAAGGTGGTGGATATGGTGGTAGTGGAGGAGGAGGATATGACGGTTACAATGAAGGAGGAAATTTTGGTGGAGGTAACTATGGTGGTGGGAACTATAATGACTTTGGAAATTATAGTGGACAACAGCAATTAAATTATGGACCCAAGAAAGGGGGCAGTTTTGGTGGAAGAAGCTCAGGCAGTACCTATGGTGGTGGTGGAAGTGGTGGATATGGTAGAGGAAGGTATAAAAAAAACAGCAGAAAAGGGCTACAGTTCTTAGCAGGAGAGAGAGCGAGGAGTTGTCAGGAAAGCTGCAGGTTACTTTGAGACAGTCGTCCTAAATTCATTAGAGGAACTGTAAAAATCTGCTACAGAAGTAGTGATGATCCATAGTCAGAAAAGTTACCGCAGCTTAAACAGGAGGCCCTTTTTGTTCAGGACTGTCAGAGCCACAGTTTGCAAAAAGTGCAGCTATTGATTAATGCAATGTAGTATCAATTAGATGTACATTCCTGAGGTCTTTTATCTGTTGTAGCTTTGTCTTTCTTTTTCTTTTCATTACATCAGGTATTTTGGCCTGTAAATTGTGTTAGTGGTACCAGGAATAAAAAATTAACTTTTCAAAAAAAAAAAAGAAAGAAATTTTAGAAAAGTGTACACCTATATAATCACCCAGACCAAGATCAAGAATACATGTTCTATCCCAAGAGGTTTCTTAATGTCACCCCTACATTAATAGCTCCCATTCCTATCCCTACTTGACAGCAAAAAAAAAAAAAATCTGACTTCTATCATTGCCAGTGAATTTTCCTTCTTCTCGAGCAGCATATACAGTATAATCCATCTGTGCCTGGTTTCTTTCATTTGCCCTAGTATGTGGGACAAGTCATATGGCTACTTCATATAGCAACAATTATTTCTTTTATCAACACTGTGTACCACTCCATTAAATAGACATGAAACAATTTATTTTTTACTCTAATAGTAAAGGAAACTTGGGCAGGTCCAATTTAGGGCTATTATGAATAAACTTGATATAGACTTAGGAGCCATATGCTAGGAATCTGCTTACAGCTACAGACTCTAAATGGCAATCTTTTCAGGTGTCTGGATATACTTTGAAGTCAATGAGCTAAATCTCATTACAAACCTGAGTCTTGAACTTCACTAAGGAATTGCCAAAAGAAAATATTTTAAAAACTATGCAGAAATTTATTGAACAGATATTAGGCAGAAATGTTATACACATGTCTTCTCGAAAGGGAGCCCTTTTTATTTTCTGTGAATGGTACACCTCTATAGATTTAGCCCTATGTTGAAAAATTAGAATGTTAAACACTGGGAATCATGCCCTTCAAATTTGCAATCTAATTATGTAATATACCAAGCCTGTAAACAAGTCTCTGCCACTTGCCAGTTCATCAAGGCATTTAATTACTTGTTGCTGCTCTCACTCATATATCCCCTCTGGAGGTACATAGGTAATCAAGTAATGAACTAAATATTCTTTAATATTCATTTGTCAACATGCGTCAGCCAACTTTAAATTAAGTGAATGTTTATGCATGAGGCTGGCCAGTTTCTATCTATAAAAAAAATTCCCCAAATCAGCTTTGGTTTTGCTTCATGGTCATGATATAAATACTTTTCTTCATAATCCTTATTCTACTCTCTTGCCTGAACCTTTTGAGGCCTCTGTAAATGAATGTGAGTGTGAGAGAGGGAGGGAAGAAGGAAGGGAGAAGGCAGAAAGATGGGAAAAATGAAGAAATGGTCCAGTTTCCTGTACAGTTCCACACATTCTCTTTCATGCTGCTTCCACCCATGCCCAAACCTGCCAGGCAGAAAGAGTGTAGTGATTCATATTAAGGTGGAGAGGTTCCAACACAAATTTTTTGCTGAGGATGGCATTGAGTAAATTGTCACCAAAACCTTCTCACTAAGAATTTTAGGAGCCAGAGGGGTTGAAGACACCACAAGAACTCGGCCCACAGAATCAGCTAAGCAGGGCTCACAGGGGCTCACAGAGACTAAAGCAACAATCATGGAACCTGTATGGGTCTGAGCTAGGTCTTCTACATATACATTATGATTGTGTAGCTGGTTGTTCTTGTGGAACTCCTAACTGTGAGAATGGGAATGTCTCTGACTCTTTTGGCTGATGTGGGATTCCCCTCTGTATGCTGTGACTATGCTTTTTTTTTTTTTTTAACCATTGGTTAATAAAGAAGTTGCTTTGACCTATGACAGGGCAGAATATAGCAAGACAGGAAATCCAAGCAGAGATAGAGGAGGAAAGAAGGCAGAGTTAGAGAGATGTCATGTAGCAGCCAGAGGCGAAAGATGCCAGAACCTTACCAGTAGGTGATACATAGATTAATAGAAGTGGGTTAATTAAGATTTAAGAGTTAACTAGAAATATGTCTGAACCATTGGCCAAACAGTGTTGTAATTAATATAGTCTTTGTGTGATTGATCGGGTCTGGGTGGCCAGGAAATGAACGAGCAGTCTCCGTCTATATTTGCTTGCTCTTAGGACGAATCTTATGGGGTTGCCTCATCTAGCCTCAATATTAGGGTTTGTGCCTAGTCTTATTGTAATTTGCTATGTTTTATTTGATTGATATCCCTGGGAAGCCTGGTCTTTTCTGAAGGGAAATGGGGGAGGAGTGACTCTCTGGTGGAGGAGAGATGGGGGGAAGGGACAGAAAGGAGTAGAGTGTGGGGAGACTGCAGTTAGGGTGTAATAGATGAGAGAAGAATAAATAAATTAACAAATACACATATCTCTACAGGAACATTGTCACCTTAAAACATAGTGGAAATACACCAATAAATGAAGACAAAAACTAACCCAGAGAAAAGTAAAGAACTGTAGAAGAGCTGTAGGCTTTGGCTGGCTCACACTATTGAAGCGTGACTGTTCAATAGTTACTAAGGAATAAGAACTGTTAAATGCATTAGCTTTGCTCCTCACTCTGAAAGAACACTTGGATTTGCAACTTAAGGAAGAAAAATTATTCCTGTTCATAATTTCCAGGGTTTATGTTCAGAGGCTTTGGCTCTACTGAATCTGGGCCTGTGGTCAGGCAGAAGATTTTAGTGGTGGAAGAATGCAGTCAAGGCTACTCACCTCATGAAGAACAGAAACAGCACAATGAAGGAAGAGGAAACCATCAATACCCTTCCTGCTACCACCAATCTATCTCCTCCAACAGCCTTCACTTCTTAAGTCCCAAAGCTCCCCCAAATAGCACCATTAACTGAGAACCAAGCACCCAACCCATGGGCCCATGGAGGACATTTCACATTCAAACCATGGAAGTTGTATACAGGTAAAGCTCCATGGCATTTTTCTGGGCAATGGTCTTTTACAATATGACCCCAAAGAGCATAGGTCTTAAAGCAAAAATTAACAAATATTCTAAAGCCGGACGATGGTGGTGCACGCCTTTAATCCCAGCACTCGGGAGGCAGAGGCAGGCAGATCTCTGTGAGTTCAAGGCCAGCCTGGTCTACAAGAGCTAGTTCCAGGACAGGCACCAAAGCCACAGAGAAACCCTGTCTCGAAAAACCAAAAAAAAAATGATATTTTATCAAATGATAGTTCCTACACAGCAGATAAATAGGGGTGAAAAAAGAACCAACAGGATTAGATAAAAATATTTGTAAAGAATAAATCAGATAAAAGATAAATACCCATGGTATACAGGGAATTTAAAAAACTAAATAGCAAACTCACCTTTTAAAAAATGGTACAAGTACGTGAAAAATTAATACAAAGAAGACATACAAATGGTCAATGGATGCATGAAAAGAAGCTTATTATTGCTACTTCTTGAGAAAATGCAAATGAAAACTGTAATAATAAGCCATAATGAAACATTACACTTGTTAGAATAGCTTTTATCAAATAGATAAGACAAGTGTTGGTGAAGATATGTTTAAAAGAGACCCATTGCATATTGTTGATGGCATGTGAATTGGCATAGTCATCCAAAACAAAATAGAAGAACATTTAAAACTTTTTAAAAAAGAATACAAATATTGTATCTGATTTTATAATTTTGGGATATATGTAGAAAAAAAATTAGATCATTATGCTAATGCAATATTTGTGTTTCTGTTATTCACAATAGGCAAAATACTAAACAAACCAAGTGCCTATCAAAAGATGAATGTATAAAAAAATACAATATGTGTACACAATGAAATTCAGCATTTAAAAGGAAGGAATCTTGTAATTTGAAATGACATAGAACATCCTGGAAGAAACTGTTAAGTGAAATAAACCATGGTTGGAAAGCTAAGTACTGCATAATCCCACTTTTATATAAAACCTTAAAGAATGAAATCATAGAAATAGAAAATAGGATGTTAAGAGGTTAATGATGACATGGGGAGGGAGACAATGGGTAGAAATTGATCAAAGAGTATAACAGTTTCACATAGAAAGGAAAACTGAATTTTGAAATTTTGCATACCAGCATGAATATAGCCAATAAATATGTATATTTCAAAATATGATAGTAAGTTTCAAATAACTCACAAAAAATGATAAATGAACAAAAAATGTATATGATAACTATCTTGATTTAATCATCCTACATTGTATGTGCATGATTCATTGAAACATTACACAGTACCTATAAGTGTATAGAATTGTGATTTGCCAATAAAAACTAACATGAACAGCAAAAGGGTTTTTTTTTTTTTTTTTGGACTGCGAGGGGTAGGTCCACCCACTGAGACAGTGTGCCTGATCTAATGGGAGCTCACCAAAGCCAGGTGGACTGGGACTGAACAAGCATGGGATCAGACCATACTCTCTGAATGTGGTTGACAATGGGGGCTGACTGAGAAGCCAATGATAATGGCACTGGATTTTTGTCTCTACTGCATGTACTGGCTTTCTGGCATCCTAATCTGTTTGGATGCACACCTTTCTAAGCCTGGATAGAGTGGGGAGGGACTTAGACTTCCCACAGGGCCGGATACCCTGCCCTCTCTTAGGACTGGAGGGGAAGTGGGGGAGTGGAAGGAGGGGAGGAAGTGGAAATTTTTAATGGTATTATTTATAAAGCAATAAAAAACAAAACAAAACATTACACGGTGCCTATAAGTGTATAGAATTGTGATTTGCCAATAAAAACTAACATGAACAGCAAAAGGTTTTTTTCCCCTTAGGTTCCAAATAAAACAGAATGAAATATATGCCAAAACACGTCAGATTTCAGGAAAAAAAATATATTTATGTATGAAGTGAAGAAGGACCTCTCCAATTCCAGTGTTCCTCTGAGGGAAAAATATAAATAAAAAATGATTTGGGAAACTATGAAGAGGGTCATTTTGGAAGACATTATGCAAGTTATCCATCTCATTTATTATGTCTCACTGAACAATGAGAAGATTACATGAGACACCTTTGACTAAAGAACTTGACACACAGAAAATGGAGTTGAAACAGCCATACATCATTGTCATTCAGCAGTAAA